AAACCTACTCAATGAAAAATATCTCAGAGGTCTCCCACCTCTTCAGGTCTATACGATGCGGTACAACAACTAGCTCTTGTCTGCGTTCGAAAACAACACCCTGTACATTAACGTCCTCATCGCAGGGCTTTAGTTATTCAATCAAGAAAAGGCGACTGAAGTTGAAAAAAAGCGAGAATCGTTTCTTTCGTTATGCGAGTTTGAATAAACTTGTCGACCAGAATCATCTGACTTACATCACTTTGCTGACATCAGCAGCAAGCTGGTCATCTCGCGTGTAAGATTTGAGCCTTGAAACTCCAGGGACAAATGAAGTTTATCATTGAGGATGTTTAGACTTCAGCTTCCCTTTCAACCGTTCAATTATGGAAGCTATCGTATCATCGAATGAAGGTGTAAATATCTCACTCTCCACATTAACATCATGAGTTAATCTGTAATCTCCGATTCTCGAAATTTATTATTCAAAGTGCGTCCTTGAGATTTTAACACGACGTGCTTTAAAGAGTTAGTGGCGTTCGTGTTTAGATAGTGCACTAATACGTCTAGTTAATAAACCAAGTTGCATTTTCGTTTGAACGAGCTTTATACTGGTGCCATTACCGATATATAGTGAACAAAAAAACACTGGTAAGATATTTGTGGCTTTCATACAGGCATTGCTGTGCTTGAAGTGTGCTTGATTGAGTGTATTTGTCATAAGAGTTCTATAATGAATATATTTAAAGATTGCGATGCTTAACAGAAATGAACACACGCAGAAAAATTCTAAAGGTATTAATTTTTGAGAAAAAGAAGAAGTATGACAGCATTATTTGTTTAAAATTAAGTGGCCTATTGAAAGAAATGCGCCTTAGACACCCTCTCTACAAAAGGCGCCTGTCTGAGGTATATAGTCTTTTTGTTTAGCCTTCTTTGTAACTTCTAGCACACTATCGAACAATGTGCATAGCACTTGTGGTTTGCGGCGGTAGAGCGCTATAGTCTGGAACGACGTTTAAGTACTTACTATCGAAATGGCCACTTGATTACGATAGCACTTCACAAGTGTCGTACAAAACACTTCGAAAATACTTACATCGAGGCAATTGGTCAATAAATTTTCAGAGACTAGTTGACCCGTAAATAAAGTCCGGCCAGAAAGTGCACAAATCGAATAAATAGGTCACAACCTTGCTACGGTGCGGAACACTGTGCCTTAAATCAAAGTCTTGCTCAGTAACTTGGTTTGCTGGTGAGCAGTCGGCAATGCATTTTAAGCAAAAGTGAGATCTTCCTGTAGACCGAAATGGATGTGAACAAGCTTTGGTTTCAACAAGATAGAACAACTTGCCACACCTCGTGGGAAACAACCAATTTACACGGAATGGACCGAGTGATGCAGGCTGTCTCTAGGAGGATATTTCGCTGGCATTGTTCCCTAGGTTTAGTGCAAATTGTTTTTTAGACCTTTTGTTATCTGGTCACTGAAATGAAGCCCACCGTATATGTTTATTAGCTTCTATGATATGTCATGTTACGTAATCAAATAGTAATTAGTCGTTGCGAGATAGCTGATTCTACATTAATGTTAGGAAATATGATTAAATAATTTGATAATACTAGACAAACTTGCAGGTTTTGCTTCAAGTCTTTTTTTGCCGGTGATTTTACAATAATACACCAAACTTAACAGCTATCTCATCACAATTTCCATGGCCACATAGCCGGCGACCCTTGCCCAGTCACTTCATCAGCCTATACAAATATGAAAGAGTCTCATTTGTCTAAACTATAGTGCCACTGCAGAGACTGAAACCTGTAACATTCAGTTACGACTCTGTTATTTCACAGAATTCTATTTTTTTTTTTTGTTAAATATCAGCACTTATTCCATAAATCCTTTTTTTTTATTGGAATTATGCAACAGTCCTGCTGTAATTCGTCAGCCTGCTGTAATTATTCTCAATCCCTTGATAGACATTCGGTAACAGTTTTTGTAACGTTTCAGTTTTGGTTCAGTAAATTTCTTACTTTGTGTTAGTGCAATTATTGTTTCGTTCCGACAGTGATTGGTTACTCTACTTCGTAACTTGAAAATGATCCACTATATATTGAAGAAATAACTGAAGTTGACGTCAACATTTCAATTTAGATCCAAACGAATTTTACTCTAGTTATGCATGTAAAGTTAAGCTCCTTTAATCTAAGACCCCGTCTACAGTTATCCTTCACCTATTTTAATTAATTTCATATGCTGAGAGTATAGTTCAAATTTAATAATTATGCATAATCGAAAAAAAATCGCCATTTTACGAAATTAGCAGTATGTTCCGTGGGAAAAACCTTTTGCAAGAGAGTGTCCATCTAATCGTGCGTTACGTACCATATGCCGAGATAGTTCATATTGTATCAACCGCTTCGTGAACTAAACAAATCTATAGTATGCTCTCTATAAAAAATAGCAGTAAAAAAAATTACCAGCTATTAATTCTTTCGGCAAGAATCATTATTTTATCGCTGGACAGCAAAAATATAAAAAATCAAACATTTTTTTCCTAAATACAATAACATGCTTGTTTTGTAACGTTTAAAAACAACTTTCTGACATTAGGAACATTTTAAGGAATCTTAACGCACCTCGCACGAAACTAAGCCCATAATAGTCTCCACCTTTAAGGAAAACTTAGTAGGCTCACTTTAAGGGGTTGATTTGCGGCGAACAGATACATGTATGGTCGGCTGAACAGTTGAATATACCTACTTTCAGTAATATTGTCGATAGATAAATAGACTAAATGGTGGCAGTTATTTTATCATCTTGTTCTGGTATGAACAGATTCGCCTCGGATTGCTACTAGTTGGACGGCAAACCTATATCTCTATAGCTACCTCGTAACGATTCTTACGATACGTAATAACCTTCGTTATTACGTATAGCTACATAATACGTAATAGTTATGCATCTCGTTACACTTATTCTGCTTCACGTATTCTGTTGGGATGTTCCAGCAATTATATGGTTACCCAATAGTTATCACATTAGCTTGTTCTAATATTTGTTTTATCGTTTGTTGCAACAGACTGAATATAAACTATTTCTCGATTGCGGGTTGCCACCCTTTATATCGTCCACTTGTAGTTCTTCTAATGTTGCGATAATATTGGTCGCTGGTTTGTGAGTTACTCTATGGTATTATTCTATAGTTTCGTTCTAGAAGTGACTGGTAATTCTGCTGCAATCAATGTGTAAACAGACCGCATGTATTCTACTGTTCGAGGCAATGAGTTCAGCTCCAAAAAAGTATAAAAACCCATATAATATCAAATAAATCTTACGTTATTTATGCATGCATTACAATAATAAAAAAATGCAAAAAAACAACCTCCGATCGTGCACGCGGTGCCGGTCTTTGCATAACCTAGAACATTGCTTCATCCAGTCATTCCCGCTTCCTATTGCAGCATTATTATAAGCTCGATACTCTAGTGTAGTCCTAATTTCTTTTTTGTTGCCGCTTTAATTAATCCGTTCGTCAACTTCCATATCGACATATTTCGTGAATTGTAGGCCATTTCAGCAAAACTTAAAGTGTTATCCCGCAAGAGTAAGACTAAAAAAACTTTAGTTTTCTTGCACTATAGTTTTGTAGGAATATAAATCGCTTACAAATCCTCAGCAGTTTTCTAATAAATAGGCAAAAACTATGGCCGTAAAAAAACATGTAAATTTAATCGAAGAATGCGAAGCATATGTCGAGGTGTAATATTAATTTCATCAACAATTTAGTAAATTGACCAAATTAGCGTCCCCTTCTACGGTAGAGATAAATTACCCACCGAAAAAATCTACTTCTCTGTCATCAATTATGAACCTTTTAATGTTAGAAATTATAAAAATCAAGTTAATTTTCTAGGGCTTGAAAACCAAACAACCTTCTAATACATATTTTTCTTTATCTATTGACCCCTGTCGTGTAGCATACGTAACCAGTGAAGCCTGTATCAATAAGCTCACTCTTTTTCAGGCAGAGATTTAACTATACAAAACTTTAAGCATATGTATTTAAACTTTTCAATATATTTCGTAAATTATCGATAGTAGTTGATAAAATCATTGAAAAAGGCTCAACTTTAGCATTATGCTTTACAACGAAAAAGATTTCTCCCCGAAAAAAGTATTCATCTAATCATTAATTCGTCAACCAGAAGAGAGCCATCTGGTAGCTGAAGGCTCCAACGGGTTTAGTGATCCGGCCGTTGCGGCAGATCAGAGAGTCACTGGTATTTAAATGCCCTAACGAGTTTTGCCATCAACATTGAGAACTATCCGGTACTTGAAAACTTTAACGGGTTTGACTATCCTACCATTGTAATAGACAGGAGAAGTCATGCGGTACTTAAAAGCCCCAACGGGTCTGTTATTTGATTTGTAATTAAATAAAATCATTAATTCGTAATAAAACTAAAAAAATCACGCCCCTTATAGAAGAAACAAACTATTCCTTCAGAAAAGTATTTATACGTTTAAAGAATACGAACCGAGACGGATAATATTTCAGCACATATAAACCGTTTCGATAAAAATCACTGTTTCATCGCTAAATTGCAAAAAAGTGTAAAATCAAAAATATCTCTAACTTCCAATTTTTCGCTGCTTGTAATGAGCTTAACAAATGTGTCAACTTCCTGATATAACATTTTCGTAAATTCGCAACGATTGTCGAGCATATCATAAAAACAACCAACTTACCAAAATTTACATTGCGTTTTGCGTAAGCGACCATATATATATATAAGCGACTGGTCTTCCAAGGGTAAACGTGCATCCGTAAAACAAAGAAAGCATTGCGAAATATCGCACCATTATAAATAGCGTCATTTTGAAACGAGAAATATTTTTCGTAGGTAATTCCAAACGACCTAATATACATATTTCGATGAATGGATTTTACAGTTGTTAGATTGCAACCATCATAAGACTGCGCTATTAAATAACATGTTTGTACGAAATGTTTTAGGCGCCGCTGGTGTTACAGTGACGGAAGTTCGATTACAAACGGATTCAGCGACGCAGGATCAGTTCGTTCTAGAAGGTGAACCGGCTAGTCTCGTATGCTTCTTCCAATTAAAACCCAATGAGGAGATCCAACGGGTAACATGGCTCAAAGACGGCACCGATGAGGTGTATGTCTGGAGAAGAAAGTTTCAGCCTTTAGCACGGCTCCTCTTTCAGGACAGAACTGACCTGTCAAACAGGTAAATCCTTATTGTTTTATTTGTGCTAGTTATAGGCTTTAGCAATTAAGCACTCAAAAAAAATACAAACACTGCCTTATACCCCCAACATATTGCGGATTTCAAGCCATCTTCAGCCAAAACACTTGAGTTCAAAAATATAATAACTTTAAGAAAAACGTGCTTCTTCCCGGAAAAGGTTAGATTTTCCGAATAATTCAGTGAAAGGAGTATAATACAACGAAAATGCAATTGTAGTTCTCAAAACAATTCTACTTTTCTTGTGAGAGTGATATTTTTATGGTTTATCTTGCGTCGACATCTTATAAATGGCATATTGACGTGCCATTTCAAAAGGAATATACACATATGCATAGGTTTATTAAATTTATTAGAAGGTTTCCGTAAAGCTCACTGATGACGTTGAAATGTTATCGGCTGATTGTCTTTAAGTGAAATCCCAGAAAAGGGCTCTAGGAAACTGCTATGCAAGTCAACTCATCTGTCGAAAGTGATGTAAAAAAGTTTTTTACCGGCAAAGGCGACGTAAAGTATTATTGCTGCATGGCAGGACTACACCATATACTGTGTTAGTGACTTAACGCCAATGGAGAACTCTGTTTCAACAAGTGTGCATCGGAATATCACTTGTTACAACGTGAATGCAGCGTAGCCAGGAAGGCAGTCACCTCAGATCAAATGGGTCGACGAATGGATTCCAAGGATGAAATTTTTTGACTCGGTGGGGTACATTGATTGCAAAGGAATGGCCGAAAGTCTGATTAGTATGCTAGCTTTTTCAAACTTAACAATAAATTTAAGTGGCTAAAAAATGAATTAATCAACCTAACGATGATAAATACAGTTCGAATATTTTCAGTAGCTTAATAGGTTGCTACATGTTATCTTTCACCTACAAAAGCTGAGCACAAGAACTCCGGTAAGAATCTTAATAGCCGTGGGCTAACCTAGCCATATTAAAGTGACGACTACAATGATGCTCCGAGAAACATTCGTATTTACGGCTTACTTTAATACGGTGCTCCGCGATGACGAAACGTTTTCACATGACAGACGCTACGTAGGTAGTTTCCTCACGAAAATCAGTGCCGTGAATCTGTACCAGTCAATTGTATATTCTCATTTAAGTTCTACTGTACAAATTACAAATAAACTGGAAGCTTCTGGACAACTTGTATTCGCTAAAAGCCAAAAATGTCAGCTTCGCTTAGAGGAACTAGATTCTCGCTCTCTAACTACTAGAAATCTACTTGGCGTAGTAATGAACATAAAACTGCATATGAATGAAATGAACATAAAAAAGGGCTAGGCTGTATATCAAAGCCGATGAAGACATAAATGTGGATACTTTACAGCAAGATACGCATTAAGTAATAAGTAAATAATATCAAACGATTTTTATGGATTGTTTTTGCTATTCTTTGTAATTATATGAGTTACGTGACACTTTTTCACTGAAGCACTCACTCCTAAGATTAGTTATTCTGATGTTAAATAACTGTGAGATGTAACGGGCGTGTTAATAATATTTTGACAGTGAAAATCAGACGAGTAACCCAATTTAGACTTTTTAGAAGTGCGTTTGAATCATATCACTGCTTTCTTAAAGACGTTACGCAATTTCCCTACATCAGGTTAAACTTCTGGCTGTATTTTTGGCCAACCGTAATCTGGCACGAGGGATTTTATTTACCCCGTAGCCAAGATAGCGGCCGACGTATGCGGGTCACACTTTTGAGTTGCATTAAAACTCCGGATCTGCAGTCGACTCATGGGAAAACTATCGCACTTGCCAGAGCAGTCCTTAGGAAAGGAAAAGTAGCGACTTCATACAAATTTAAATGGCTTGAGTTTGCAATCGATCGGAACCGCGTCGCGTTATCTTACAGTCGTGATATCATAAGATGCTATGATCTCATGTACCGCGGCTGCGTCATGAGGGGCAGCCCATATATTGCACTGGTTCACTCTAACCCATATTCTGCTGAAAAAGCTTTAGGGCCTTATATTTAGCTCGAACTTGTCTATTCTCGAATCGACTTTTTAATAAGTTATTTATTTTTCTTCTTTTTTGCTAAGAATATAGGCCTAGTTTATCTTTTTTGAATCTTGATAATTTTCCTTATCTGAATAGGCCACCACTAATTTCACCTCAAAGCTGACCTTCTAAGATATCCTCCTCTAGAGCATTTGGGTTTATTTTACTAAAAGATTTTTAAGACGATCCTTCGGGTTCTAGAAGTACCATAAAGTAGAATATGCTTGCGAAAAGGGTGGGTTACCGTTTGCTAGTTTTATACAACGCCCATTTATCGCCAATGCTGTTTTCTATTTATACAGCGTCATCGATTTTTAGGAGCATGCAAGCAACTCCTATTAGCAGTGATCCATACAAGTACGGTTCACATCTGAGGATCTTCATGGTTCCATCCCATAATGTTTCGTCAAACGTAAGTTCCCTCTTTCTCAAGATATGGCGGGATCACTCAATGGCTAAACACGGACCTGATCTCACAGTTTTGCTGGTAGGCGTTTAATGTGCGTTAGCGTAGCCCGTAGCATTCATTACTTATTCCGACTTTCAACTTATTCAAAACGGTACAGATATCGTACATCTTATTACCTAGCAGCAGTTTATGTTTTTGGTGAAGGGATAAACAAAGCTTTAATGTCGACCTAAGGAATAGTCACAAGGTTGGAACGAATTGGAACGTAAGCAGTACACTCTCCTAATGTAACAAACTTGATATTCATACAAACATACACAAAAATACGGGTAAACAATTTTCCAAACCTGAAAGATGCTAAACAGAGGCTTTTTCAGACTGCTATTATTTAAAACTTAATTTTCGTCAATTGCTGATTATAATGTTTTAAACACTGTAGCATAGTTGATTGATATTGTATTATTAGACTGGCTCTGTGACGACGGCAATGCCACTGTCCAGCTTATTCAGTTGGCTATATGCTATAGGCTATTTAAAAAAAGAAAAGGACCAGCTAACCAACGACTGACGGGAAAAAAGAACAAATGAAAACCGTTCCAGTTGCAGGATAATCGCAATAGCAGCCGGCTTCCGGAAATATATTGCTACTTGTTTTCGTGGTTACACAACATTCCAGTTTGTACATTTTTCTCAGTCTAAGCATGCTTTCCTTTTGTCTTTCGGCAGCGTTCGCAGAGTCTTTTGTTTCGGTGCGCGTGAATCCGTTATAACCTCTATCGTGTGTAGCTTCGCTCACTCACACGTCCTTCCTGTTGTTCCTTCCTGCTGCCTACAACCTGCGACCCCGTCTGCTTCTTTCGCTAACTCCTATTATTCCCTTTGTCTTTTTAGTGTTTTGATCCTTCTCCCTGGTGCATCGTTTGTTTCATTGCACTCATAGTTCACTTTTCTCTCTACCTCTTGACTTGTGCTTCTTTTTGCCTTTATTGCGCCTGCTTCTCAGCCGGCTTTTCCATTCTTTGTATGCTTGAAACATCCCATCCCGTCTAATAGAACCGTCTCTCATCAGCGAATTAAAGGCTGCAAGGAAAAGGCCAGTCCCTTGAGAGAAAAAGCAGCGGGCAGTGAACCTTTCATTTCAATTACCGTCCAAACATGCCGTTTGACCTGGGCCTTCTTCGATCAATGTATTCCTTGAATAAAAATCACACCAGAGTTCAGAATGCTGACCAAGCTCTTGCTATTCACACAATTCTTATCGCTCTCCAGTCGAATCTAAATATGCTTCCGAAACGTTCTTCAATGTCAAAATCTATAATTTCGATTTCAGCCATATGAGTAGTTTTTCCAGCGTGCCCCTTAGGCCTGTTGCCACTTTCCCGCATCGTAATTCACAGTCTATAAGATCCGGCCATATTTAATGATGGTTTACATCTGGAATTTGTTCTCCATATTTTTTCCAAATCTGGTTGGTTATATGTCGAACGTCCTAAGAGACTATATTGGATTTTGACTACCCCAAAACGAAAAATAGAAGAGAATCTCAGCTCAACCCAATGAGTCCTGTTTGAACTACAAGCGGAACAGGGCGCTAAATGTCCTCCTAAGTACCATTCCATCCGAATTCGTATTTCGAATTCTGCAGTTATTTACAGTTCAGCATCCGGTGCTTTGGATAATAGATTGTTCTCAGCACCTCTTAGCACATTCACACAGCCTCACAAGAACAAATCGAAATAAGCCAAACGACGGAATCGACTGTCACTGCCGCGTGTCGAGGTCCGTTGGCCTAAGAACATGGTTCTCCGCGTGGTGCAACTGGTTGCACTACCTTGTTGAAACCAAGGGTTGTTTGAATTTGCTGTCCTCATTTTGATTGCAATAAGGTTTACAACAGCTCACGATAACGCTCGCTATTGACAACTGGTGCCGCTCCGTCGCTTGAAGTTTTGAAGAAAAAGGGCCTCATGACCGTTTTCGCTCCGCAAGCCGCACCAGAAAGTGACTCTTTGAGAATGAGGTGGTTTATTTAATGCTCTTTGGCTTTGCAAGTCTCAAGTGCGATAATTTTTTCGATTTCTTTAGAACTCTAGCTGAACATAAGCTTTCTGAGAGAAAATGATGTTGTCAAAATAGTCGCTAATGCTTGCCTGTATCTTCAATTAATAACAGGCAGTGAACGACGCTTGTGATGGTGTTGGATATTTAAGCCTTGAATGAAGTGTACGATTACTATCTATCGCTCGACAATCTGCTAGCACCCGCATGCTTTTAAATATAGCACAAATGGACGAAATCCTGTACAGGCTTTTGGGTCATTTTTTGTGCATAGTAAATTTTAAGCTATTTAATATTATTCCGAAGAACGATCTTTCAGAACGTGTTGCCTTAGCTCATTGAAACCTTTCAATATAGATATGTGACCCAATAAAATATTGCTAAATTAGAGCTAGGATGTACAACTCAAGAATATGTTCGTTCAAGCAATTGGCACTATTGACACATGGTTATTAACCATTTCTGTAGAAAAGGCAGGCATTAAGATGAAACATA